AGGGAAGGAAGTCTTGGAGTAGAAGTTTAGAGTCTGATCCGTTGTAGGTATTTTGTACTTTTGATTTTTGTACAGTCATGGCTTTTCTGTTCTGTTTTTTCTTTCTGTCTGAAAGCCATGAGCTGTATTTGTATATGATTCTTTTGAGGAAGAAAAATATAGATAATCTGTTCCGCTGCATTTGATGTTTATAGAAGCTCTGTGTGTGTCTGTTTCTGTCTGTATGTTTGGAAGAAAGTTCTGAAACAAATTCCAAAGCCAGATCCTGGAATCAGTTCAGTCAGTCTGAAGTTCCGGCATCACGACCCGATACGAGCGGGACCCGTCCTGGTCGGGTTGGGTCGTGACACTCATCCCCTACCCAAATATTACCAATTTGAACACCGAAAACTCTGGATCTACAGAGAACTCTTATTCTCTTCCTAGGCTATGGTGTGATCATTGTGCCAAACTAGGACATACAAAGGAGTCATGTTGGAAGATTCATGGAAAATCAATTGATTGAAATGCAAACAAATCAACCCAAGAAAGCAAAGTGACTCTGTCAACACCACGCAAGATCAATCCATCAAAGCTAAAGTCATTCCTTTCACCAAGGAGCATTTAGAGATGCTGAAGTGGCTTAACAACAACATGAACCAACAGTCTCTAGAGCCTGCTACCAGCCTACACGCTCACTCAGGTATAAAACAGTCAAAACTTTAGATTATTGACTCAGAAGCATCAGATCATATGACAAAAGATATTACACTCCTTCATGACTATCAACCTTATCATTAAAATCAAGTAGTTAAGATTGTTGATGGCTTAATATCCAAAGTTTTATGAATTGGTTATACTTTTGTCACAAAAGCTATCACCCTTAAATTGGTGCTTTATGTGTCCAATCTTGAGTGCAATCTAATTTTTATTAATAAATTGACTCGTGATAGTAATTGCTTAATAATTTTCTCCAATAATGTATTTATTTTTCAGGAACTGGATTTGGAGAAGAAGATTAGTAGTGTTGAGATGTGCTCTGGGTTATATTACATCATGACACCCAAAACCATACAAGCCTTAATGGCTAGTCCTAAGAATCCCCCTCCTAAGAATCATCAATTATATGTCAGTTTGTTAAGAGTCATTCTAGAGTCAGTCAAGATAGAGAGATTATTATGTGACATTATAGGTTAGGTAATCCAAATTTCATGTATCTTGAAAAGCTTTTTCCCCGTTTATTTATTAATAAGAATCCAAATTTGTTCAAATGTGAAACTTGTCAATTGGCTAAACATACCAAATCATCTTACCCAATTATTCCTCACTAACCTTGTAAACCCTTTGTCTTGATCCATAGTGACATTTGGGGACCCTCGAGGATTAAAAATATAAAAGTGGAGCAAAGTGGTTTGTGATATTTATTGATGATCATACTATACTCACTTGGGTTTATTTAATGAAGGAAAAATCTAAAGTTGAAAGGATATTTAAATCATTTTAACTGATGATTCAAAACAAATTTGATACAAAAACTCAACTCTTAAAATCAAACAATAGGAGAGAGTACTTCTATTCTATCATGAGAGAATACCTATCAAGCCAAGGGATAATCCAAGTGAGTACATATGCATATATGCCTCAACAAGATGGGGTAGCTGAGTGAAAAAATAGGCAACTCCTGGAAATCGCAAGATATATTATGCTATTCACAAAAGTACCAAAATATCTATTGGGGGGAAGCCATTCTTACTACTGCATACCTAATAAATAGGTTACCTACCCGGATACTAAAATTTGAAACACCTAGACAGATTCTATACAAAGACTATCCTTATGCTCGGTTCATATCATCAAACCTTCCACCTAAAGTTTTTGGGCGCTCTACTTTTGTTCATATCTATCCACAAATAGAAGCAAGCTTGACCCAAGATAAAAAAAAATGTCTTTATTGTCTATTATTCCCCAACAAAAAAAGGTTGCAAATGTTTTTGCCTTATTTCTAGGTAAGTATTTGAAACTATGGATGTCACATTCTTTGAAAACAACTCATACTTCACTAGTTCAGAAAGTCAGGGGGAGATTGAAGGAGAATTTCAAACTTGGGAGTAGAATTCTTTATTATACAACCAAACAGAGTCCAATCAAAATCAACAAATATCACAAGAAATCTAAACCACGAGTATATCCCAAGGTATATGTATTAGATCTCAAAATCCCCCTTCAAACCTATTACCTCCACCCATATGTCCTAATCAATCCCTGTAAAGAGTAGCAATTAAGGAACAACAATATGTATACTCAAGAAAAAAGAAAGAAAAATTAGCATATGTCGAGTAGTGAGATACATCTTGCATTTGTCAACTCTACTTCAATGGATCCAGCAACTGTATAAATTTATACATAGGAGAAAAATGAGGAAGTTCAAAAAGAGAAAATCATCAAATGGCAAAAAAGAATCATGCACCAAGCATCCAATCGAAAACTTTCTCTCCTATAGCAGATTATCAGACACTTATCAAATTTTCCTTTCCAAATGGGATGATGTACAGATTCTGACTAATATTCGGGAAGCTTTGAATCACCCAAGATGGAGACAAGCAGTTAAAGAAGAAATTATGGCCTTAAAAAAAATCACACATGGGTGATTATGAATCTCCCACCAGGAAAGAAAGATGTGACTTGCAAATGGGTGTTCACTATAAAGCATAAGGTTTATGATAATGTTAATAGGCTAAAAACTAGACTGGTTGCAAGAGGATTCACTCAGTCTTATGAAATAGACTATCAGAAAACTTTTGCTATTGCAAAGCTCAATCTCATCAGGATTCATTTTTCCTTAACAGCAAATTTATTTTAGCCCCTGCATCAACTAGATATCAAGAAGCATTCTTGAATGGGAACCTAAAAGAAGAAATCTACATGAAGATTCCAATAGGGATTCAGAAATCTTATGGAAGAGATAAGTGTGTTAACTGCTGAAATCATTGTATGAATTCAAGAAGCCTCCAAGAGCATGGTTTGGAAGATTCTTAAAGGGTGTAAAAGGCCATAGTTTCAAACAATGCCAGGCAGGTCATACCTTGTTTGTGAAGCAGTTAGAAAGAGACAAGGTAGCAGTATTGATTGTATATGTGGATGACATCATCCTTATAAGAAATGATATAGAGGAAAAAATGAAGATCAAGCAGACTTTGTCCAAGGAGTTTGAAGTAAATGATCTAGAATCACTTAGATACTTCCTTCGTATGGAGGTAGCTCGATCAAGCAAAGGTATATTTATTTTCCAACGCAAGTATGCCTTAGAACTAGTGAAGGAGACCGACATGTTGGGATGTAGACCAGCTAGTACATCTATGGATCCTAAGAATAAACTTGGGATAAGAAAAGGAGGGAGTTCCAGAAGATATCAATGTCTTGTAGGAAAGCTTTATACCTCTCCCACACCCGTCCAGATATTAGCTTTTCTATGAGTATGGTAAGCCAATATATGAGTAATCCTATGAAGGAGCGCATGGAGCCAATATATCAAATCTTGAGATATCTCAAGAACACTCCTGGAAAGGGGCTATTATTCAAGAAAAATGAAGATAGGAAATTGATTATTTATTCTCATGCAGATTGGGCATGAAGCCAGGTTGACAATCGATCAACCACTGGATATTGTTCATTTGTGTGGGGAAACTTAGTGACATGGAGGAGCAAGAAATAATCTGTTATTTTCAGAAGCAGTGCAGAATCTGAACTGAGAGTATTAGCAGTTACTATTTGTGAAGGTATTTGGATCAGAAAAGTATTGATTGAACTGAGAATAAAGATTGAAGGCACGATAAAGTTGAAATGTGACAATCAAGCCGCAATCAATATGGCCAAGGATCTAGTACATCATGAAAAAACAAAACATGTTACTATTGATAAACACTATATATCTGAGAAAATAAAAAACTCTGAAATTAAAGTAGTATATACCCCAACTCATGAACAACTTGTCAATGTTCTAACAAAGGAACTAACAGGCTCTCTACTTGATAAGTTGTTTGCAAGTTAGGATTGTACAACTTGTACAACCAAATATGAAGGGAAGTGTTGAATCACGCAGCTAAGGGGAGGCCACATTAGCAATTTGTGGGCAGCAATTCGAGAGCTCCAATTGGAGATCCGTGGGAAACAATCCGAGGGCTGAAGTTGGAGATCCTTGGGCAGTAATCCGAGGGATGCAATTGGATATCCGTGGGATATGATTATTATAATTAATTAGATTAAATGTCTTTCTTTTTCTATTTGTTCTCCTTCAATATATATATATATATATATGCAATGATTTCAAGAAATATAATAGAATTTGAATTTCCCTTTAAACAATTTATTTAATAAGAACATAAACTCTTAAGGCTTTTGCCTCGTGCTTTGAGACTTACATCCCATCTTGTGATAGATAAGATGCCTCATGTTGCAATTCAGCCTTTCTAAACCAAGGTTGTGAGAGAACAAGATAAATATCCAGAAAGAATATGATGGATTAGAAACTGAACTGTTCTATGGCAAGCTGGGAGAAAGTGAAGGCTTTGCTACTTGAAGCTCCCCACAGTCACTGATATAGACTGTTCTTAAAGGCCTGTCCCACGTTGTTCGAGCTATCTGTGCCCTCTCATCCCCAAGGAATACAGCAAAATCATTGAACTGCCGAATCTTTTCAGCAGGTTTATATGTGGGAATGGTAGCAATTGTAGTTACAATATCCATACCTGCAATCAAGAAGTATGGAAAATGAAGAATGGCAGACAACTCATAATTTCATTAAATAATAGAAAATTTACTCTGAAAATGATTTCATGATATGATTTACACCGAGATTGAGCACATCAAATGTCAGACAAAATTGTAGAAAAGAAATTTAACCGAGGATTACCAAAATAAAGAGAAAATTATGAGAAAAAGCATGGGGGCACCATCAACCGGATATAAATCCTATAGCAACCTTTTAAAAGGGCAGGCCAGTACTTATCTGATGCTTGAAATAATAATAAAGGAAAACACTCGCCCGATAATTGACCGAATTTATCGTCCGAATGAACATACAAAAGCTTAGCCACTGTGAATGAAAATATTTATAGCTATTGCTATGGAGAGAAGCAGACAATATTTTTGGGCTGAATTTCAGACCCTTCTGCCGCTCTCCAAAGATAATATATTTTTACACTAATTATTGAATAAATACTTATCCCACCCGTTAGGTTTCTCATAAAACTAAGAACCTCCTTTGATAGGAAACTGATCATCAACTAGCAGCCAGTGCATAAGTATCGATCTTTTACTCTTGTCCCAAGTGATGTCTATGAAGAGATACAAGATGCAAAATTCCTAAAAGCCTCCTTTTCAAATTGAAGAGGATGTTGTGGCTACAGTTCCGGGATTGTTGCATTTCCATTAATCCAATTTCAATTAAAAAAAGGAAGAAATGCATTTTGCATTGGCATTCAGCCACCCAAACTTCAAAATGAGATTTCTAATGTGGTTTTATAGTACAGGCAAACTAGGTAACAACCATAAATATATTACAACTAAGAAATCTGAAACCTCTTCTCCATAAAAACGGAGGTTTGTTAATCAGTTCACTGAAATTATGTATTGGATTGCATTACTAAGACAATGAAATACCAAAGATGGAGAAAGATTGCTCATCTAGTAAAGTCGGAAAGAAGAAAATGGAAAATGGCATTTTTCTTCTCCCCAACCACGTGCAGATATTTTTAGTCTAGAATGCTGATTGAGTACCACAGGCAGAACACCCACATGAGTTCCAACAAGGAAAAGATGCTAAGAAACAAATTAGAAGAAAGGTAATACGAAATAACACGCCATAAAAAATAAGCTATTTTTCATCCAAACATCAAGAACCTTAGTGGGATACCTTCTGTATGTTACAAATAAAGAAACATATATGTAGATCCGAAGAAAAAACAAAACAAATTAATTCTGTTAAATCCTACCCAAGAAAACTTGAACCAATGAAAATGCCATCTAAACTGGAAGCTTATGGAGCCAATTTAACACTCAAAAAGGTTTATTTGACCACAAAAATGACACTACAAGAGGCTCAAGTATATCAAAAGATCCCTTACTTTCGATCACAAAACAAAAGATCACAACTTGAAAATTACACCAATCTTGTTAATTTAGAGTCCAAATTCACTAAACTCTCGTGGTCATCTCTTGCAGTCTGTAGAGCACTTTTGATAGGAAATACTTGAGATCGCAAGTAACCCTAAGGGAAATACTTGAGTTCGCAAGCAAACCTATCACTAATTGGTGAAAACAGCGAGAATAATGCAAAATCTCGGCGAAATCAGCCCTAAAACGATGGATTGTAATAAGAGAATCAAAGCCAAATAAACACGAAAACAAGATACAAATGATCCTCAATTCGAGAGGAGGATCGTTCTCTTCCAAATCTCTAGATAAAATAATCTAGAGTCAAAACAAAACTCAAGAACTCCAAGAGAAAACTCAAATCATGCATAAACCTAACCCTAAAACAACTCCACCTATTAATACAATTAATTTCCTAATTCAAACCTCCCTCACTCAAAATTTCCCTCTCGCCCTAGCCGCCCAAATCCCCCCTTCCTCAATTGCTCCAAGGGGGCCCATACATGTGGGCGGCAGATCAAAGGGGGCGGACTCCTTTCCGCCTCCTATAGAATTGAGCCAGCTGCTAGGCTGGCTCCTGGGCCGGTTTAGGGTGAACCGGCCTATCAACTTCCTCATCATTAATGTTCCTACGACAGTTCACTTCCACATCTGATATGTTCATTATCTTTCTTATATTCCACAAACTTTACCATCCATTACAAGCTTGTTTCTCTCCACCTTCAAAAGAAACTACAAATCAAAAAGCACAGTCTTCAAAAGCAAAAAAAATTAAAAAACAAATTAATATATTGATGTAAGATATCTTAGAGTCTAGGATTCTAATATAGATGTAACATAAAATACAAATATAGTTGCAACGAAATAATGCAAGAAACATCCAAATTTCATTGTACAGAAGCTATTAATCTTTATTATATGAAAAAAAATAAATGTAATTCGAATGAAATATTTATGGTATTGCACTAGAAAATAATGACAAGTTAAGAACCATAAAAATCATGCACGCAATTCAAATATCAGGCAAAAGAAAAGAAACCAAATCATAGTGCAGTTTCAGGTTTATTTTTAAATACAAAATCAAATGTTTAATCATTCTAAGACTGTAAATATTTATTTCGCATCCTTATCATCTTTTAAAACAACATTCGTGAATTATAGTTTCTTTAAAAGAAATGAGTTTGACCATGCATGATATTGGCGTTAGTGTATCTTTAAAAGATTTTAGATGAGATGTACAAGATTTTTTTTTCCTTATAAATACAAAGTGGAGATGCAATAATCCTTATAAATGGACAACTAATATATCTTTCAAACTATAGAATTGTTTAGTTCGATGTATTTAAAAGGCAACGTAGACTTAATGCACAAAATAAATGCCTTCAATTTAGCTGCATTAGCTTTGCTTGAGATTCATGAAAGAAATAAACTGAAATAAAGCCAACAGCCTGAAATAAAGTAACTTCACTTAATTCAATTCAAACCAAACGCTGAAAAACTAATTTGGCATGAAATATTTTACTTAGCAGCAACTTTTCACTCAAACGAACAACCTCTAAAGCTTTGTATTAAGCCCCATCTATTATTTTGAAGGAATGAGGCTTTCATAAAACGACAGCCTTCCGATTACCCGTTTAGGAAAGTAGATGTATTAGATCTGACTTATATTAAGAAAGGTAGAGGTAAACCTAAAAAGACTTGGTTAGAAAATACTAGAAATGACCTTTCTTTATTAGATTTAGATGAGAATTTGACCCTTAATAGAATACAATGGATAAAAAGGATTCATGTAGCCGACCTCATATAGTGGGATAAAGACTTGTTATTGTTGTTGTTTGTTGTTGAATGAGGCTTTCATGCTCAATTTCTTTCTAAGAACCTTAAAAGCAAATATAGATAACAAAATAATTTCTAAAAAAAACTCAAACCTAAAAAAGTAATCAAACTCACCCCTTATTAAAAGTTCCTAACTTAAATATGAGAATGTCTTCTATAATATATGAATTAAAAATAATATTATTATTATTACATTATGTCTCAAATCTACTGAAATAAGTTTTGTTTAGCAGCAACACATTGCCAAAACATTTTAGTAGATCCCATTACTTTTATATAAGCAAATATAAGCATTCATATTATATCTTTCAAAAAACAAAATCCTTAAAGTTATAGTTTAAAATACCCAAGAATTATGCCTCCTATTGAATGTAGGAGTTCTTTTACAACTTCTGAAATAAGTATGTTAAATTTGTTTATAATCATACCAAAATCGACTTTATTCAAATAGCATTTTTTTGTTGACTATTAATTGGCCATGATATTAAATTCTACATCAAGAAGATATAATGATATAACCTTGGGCTTAGATACCTAACCTGATGTAGGATGTTAGAGGTTCTAAGGTTTGGATGAAACCAAACAATTCAACAAACATGCAAATTTTGTAGCAGATAAGCTATTAGAATAAGACTTTGTTTGGGACGGCTTTTTTATTGCTTCTTAAAGTAACTTTTTAGTTAAAAAAATTTTAATTTTTATACTAAAAAGCTGATTTAAGAAGCAGTAAAAAAGCCGCCCCAAACGAAGCCTAAGACAACTATTGATGAGGACATCAGTCAGAGATTTCGACACATGTACCATCGGAGGAATCGTAGATCGACAGCTACGATTTGGAGTCTATATTTTTTATTTATTTTCATGTACCTTTCTATTTGATATTTTCAGTTTACTAGTTTACCCCTATAGGTGTTGAGTCTTTGTTGTATCCCATGGGGCATATGAGTCCCTTTGTTTTCTTTTGTTAAGACCTATATATAAAGGTCCTTATCTTTGTATAAGGTTAATGTTTAATCAATAGAAAATTTCATATTTCTGAGTTCATGATTTTGTGAGTTGAGAGGAGAGGAGTAGACTAGTAGAGGCTCAAAAGAAATACCCAACAACCCCCTTCGTGGGAGCTCTTGGCTCTTTATATTTTTTCTTCCCTTTTTCCCTTTTCTCCTAGTCGCCGCCACCCCCAAACCCACCTCCTTACCACCGGCCAGCAACCCCACGCCTCCCTCTTCCCTTAGCCGTCGAGTCCCATCCTCTATCACCCATCCGGCCCAAATCCCCCACCTCCCTTCCACCGGAGCCAACACCCAAGCCGCCGGCCCCATTGAATCCCCACTCGCCGGCCAACCCAAGGCCAAGCCTTGGAATTTGATTTTCAAATTCAAGTAGGCTTTCATTACTTTCCTAAATTAACCCCTTGTCATTTAGGAAGTTTCCTAATTGAATTCAATTTGAAATTTGAATTTCAAATACCTTCCTAAGTGATGAAACCCAATTAGGAAACCATTCAAATCTAATCAAATCTGAATTTAATTCAGAATTTGATTTAATTAAATATTCAATCACTTGGCCCCACTTACATTGAACCTAGACACAATTTTAAACCCCCATAGAGCCGGCCCCCTCTCTCTCTACACTTTGCCACCTAAGCAACAATTAATCCCCTCCTAAATTCCCTAATAGCCGTCGGCCCATTAACCCCTTAAATGGGTTGATTTGAATTTAAGTTAGCTCCCCCTCTCTAAAGAAAATCTAAAATTCA